TTGTTGGTGTGCACCTGTAATGCCAGCTCTTGAGAAACTGAAGCAAGAAGACCATAGTTCAAGGCCAACCTCAGTTACACAATGAGAATGTATCTAAAACAACAAATAAATAAGTAAATGAATATGCAAAGAACCCATAATGACTATAGATTTTTTGGAGATCTGCATTCTCGTAACAAATCAAGATCAAAATTATTTCTAGGTCTTTCCCTCCAAGTCCCTGTTACAAAGAAATTTGATTGCAAGATGCAGAGAAGCCCCATTTTGAGAGGTTGAATCACGAGTCTTTATTAGAAAACCAGCAAATGGGTGCACGAGCGCGTGTCTTCCAAATACTTGCCACCTAGTATGCACTTGATACTCTTAGAAAACTGAGTCAAGAGGGTTGGAAGCAAAGTAGAGAAACAGTAGGAAAACAATCTCAACAAACCAGATCAGCTCCAGTGGAGAGTTGAAGAGCAATGCCATGGTGACCTGAGGAGAGTCGGGAGACACAGTCATGGCATGACGCAATGGTGGTAGAGGTGGCGAGGCCTAAACAGGGGGCAGGGTCACAGGAAGAGAGTTCAAAGAGTCTCCTGAGGTCATGGTACAGGACCTATTGTCCAAGGCTCTGCCCTGCCTTTAGGGACTCAGGCCTGTCCATCACCTGGGGGTGGAGATGGGACTTCACCTCTAAGAGTTTTCAGGAAGTCCCTCATCCATCATGAAACTAGGATGGGGACCAGTATCCATGTCTCAACATCCCTTCTCTGAATTTGGGTTTATTATTTCCATATATTTGCAATAAATTTGTTGGTGATCATACTAAACACAGTAAAAGAGTACATGCTAAAAACATACGTGCAACCCTTTTTCTCATATTCTTACAGAATTTGCTTTTATCATTTGTGTTGTGACAATAACACATATACTTCGAGGACATCCATTTTAAATTCTGCACAGTATTCTCCTGTTAAATCATAGGCCACAGCTTAATTATTCATGCTCTTATTGATGATCATTTAAACAACTTACATTTTAACTTTGTAGTAATACACCATGTGTATTCACATAAGACTTCTTAATACATGTATGCAAGTAACTAGATTTTGCCTGGTTCCTCTCCAAATGGCGAATGCAATTTACCGTTCCACCAGCAATGTGTGAAAGCCTATATATGCCACATGCTAACTATTATCTATATTGTCAAACTGGCTTTGAAAACTGATGGCTATGTAACAGCATCCCACTGTGGTTTTCATTTGCATCTATCCAGCAATAACAAACAAAAGGAAGTAACCTTCTATGTCTGCATTGACATTTTTGTGAGATTTTTGTTTCTGTCAATTACCTGTGTGTAATCCTTCTCCATTTTCCTATTGAAGGGTTGGTTAGAATCTGTAAAAGAGCAAATCTTTATATATTCTCTACTTTAATCCTTATTGCTTACATCCAGAGAGTATTAACCCATTCATGTTGCTATCATGAAATGCCATAGGTTAAGTGAGTTGAGCAATAAACATTTAGGTCTCACAGTTACCAATAGGTTTGGCTCACGTGGAGGTGCTCTTCCTAGCCTGCCAATGAAGACTTTCTCACTGAGTCCTCACATGGGCAGAAGTGAGGTAGACTCTCCCTCATCTTGTTTGTTTTATGAACAGCTGTAAGTGAGTAATTCGACTGATTTCTGTCAACTCTCACAAGATTTCCAGCCTCTTACCAGGTCCTCAGACATACAACTTACTTTCAGGACAGAGCAGGGGCATGAATTTATTTCTATGTGGAAAGGCAGCTGTGTGCTGACAATAAAATATTCCTTGCTTCCCAAGAGAGTTGGAAGAAAGTTCAAATTTTAAAGTATTCTTTCTATTCATGCCTTGGAGACATTTCATTTGAATTTTATGGCAGTATAAAAATCTTTTTTTATTTTTGACCAGATTATAATCTTCTCTGTAGTCTTATCTTGACCCATTTACCTTTGTAGATGTGTTGACTAGCTTCTGCATAGTGAATTTGATATGTATTTTTCACTTAATCTACTCAATTAGTTTAATATAATGGCTCCCTAGGGAAAGTAACTAGTAAGTGAGAAGTAAAGATTCTGACACGGGTGGCTCACACTTGTAATCCTGGCAACTCAAGAGGCTCAGATCTGATGATCACAGTGTGAAGCCAGCCTAGGCTGAAAAAATCTGTGAGTCTTATCTCCAATTAATCAGCAAAATCTGTAAGTAGACTCCTGTTGTAGAGAAAAAAACTCCAAGATAGAGTGGATCCCAGTATGGGCAAAAGAAGAGTAGGGAAATAAACATTTTTTACAGGTACCTAGTTATCAATTTCCACATTGTTTAAAAAACCATTTAAGGGACTATGCTTGACTTTTTTTGGTTTATTGTATACTTCACATAATTTTCATTGCCTAATAATATACAATAGTGGAAAAAGCTGAACAAAATCAAATACACACAATTTAAAGTTACTTGAAGACATACAGAAAAAACAATGTTTGGTGAGCTGCTGTGTGCTCTTTTAAATTTCCTCCATATATTGATATAGGTGTGGATATAACCTTTTAACACTAGACTCATATTTCTCTAGAGTTTTTTTTAACTTAATACATGATTTCCCACTTAACATTGTGTACTCTTTTCTTTTTTTTAATTTTAATTTTTATTTTTTGTGAACATACTGTACAAAGGGGTTACAATTACATGGGCAAGATAATGAGTACATTTCTTATCAAGCATTGCAGCCTCCTCCTTTGTTTACCCTTCACATCAATTCCTGGTCTCCGCCCCCCGTCCTCCCAATCCTCCCCTTCTCCCCCTCTCTCCTCACCGAAGTTGTAAAGTTCGTTTTCGACATGACAACTTGTACTTCTCATTGTTACAACAGGTCTACCTGTATCCTTAAACTTGTTTTTCCCCATCTCCTCCACAAATTATACCGACATCAAATATAGTGAAAGCATGGGTTATACTGTGGGGGAGGGACATACAAAGCAACAAAGAAATAATCTTATAAATTCGTTAGAAACACATGCATGCAAGAAAAAAAAACATTAAAATACATATCTAAGGGTTCATTTTCCTAACATCACATTATCTGACCTTTTCTGCTTGACTCATACATATACTAGATATTGCAAATAAGGGAAACCATGGGACATATGTTTCTTTGGGCTTGGCTTACTTCATTTAATATAATTTTTTCCAAGTCTTTCCATTTCCTAACAAATGGGGCAATGGCATTCTTTCTGATGGAGGCATACATTCCATTGTTTATATATACCCCATTTTCTTGATCCATTCATCTACTGAGGGGCATCTGGGTTGGTTCCATATCTTAGCTATGGTAAATAATGCTGCAATAAACATAGTTGTGCTGGTGGCTTTAGTGTGGTCTTGTTTGTAAACATTTGGGTAAATGTCCAAAAGTGGGATTGCTGGGTCATAGGGGAGCTCTATGTGAAGTCTTTTGAGGAACCTCCATATTGCTTTCCAAAGTGGTTGAACAAGTTTACACTCCCACCAACAATGATGTAAGGTTCCCTTCTGTGCACATCCCCTCCAGCATCTGTTGTTGTTAGAGTTCTTGATTTTTGCCATTCTAACTGGGGTGAGGTGGTATCTCAATATTGTTTTGATTTGCATTTCTTTTATGGCTAGAGAGGTTGAGCATTTCTTTATGTGTCTATTGGCCATCCTTCTTTCTTCTTCAGAGAAGTTTCTCTTTAAGTCATTAGCGCACTTATTTATTGGGCAGTTGTTTCTTTGAGGATTTGTTGTTGGGGGATTTAATTTTTTAAGTTCCAAGTATATTTTAGATATGAGACACTTGTCCATTGTATGGCTAGTGAAGATCTTCTCCCAATCTGTGGGCTTTCTATTGATCTTGCTATCTATGTCCTTTGCCATGCAGAAGCTCTGCAACTTTATGCAATCCCATTTGTCCAACCTTTCTTTGATTTGTTGTGTTTCCGGGTCTCTATTCAGAAAATTTCAGCCTGTGCCAAGGAGACCTAGGATTTCTCCTATTCCATCCTGTAATGTTTTCAGAGTGTCTGCTTTGACTCCGAGGCCTTTGATCCATTTGGAGTTGATTCTGGTGCAGGGTGATATATAAGGATCTAGCTTTAGTTTTCTACATGTAGTTAACCAATTTTGCCGGTACCATTTACTGAAGAGGCTGTCTTTCTTCCATTCTATATTTTTAGCTCCCGTATCGAAGATTAGATGGCTATAGGTCTGTAGATTCATTTCTGGGTTTTCAATTCTATTCCATTGGTCCTGAGGTCTGTTCTTATGCCAGTACCAAGCTATTTTGATTACTATGGCTTTATAGTAGTGTTTGAAATTTGGTATTGATATTCCTCCAGCAGCGTTCTTTCCGTTGAGGAGCGTTTTTGCTATTCGGGGTCTTTTATTGTTCCATATAAATTTTTGGATTGCCTCTTCTATTTCCTTGAAGAATGAGCTTGGAATTTTGATAGGTATGGCGTTGAATTTGTAGATAGCCTTGGGAAGTATTGCCATTTTCACGATGTTAATCTTTCCGATCCAGGAGCATGGGAGGTTTTGCCATTTTCTAAGTTCTGTTTTGATTTCCTTTTTCAAGATTTTAAAGTATTCATCATAGAGGTCCTTCACTTCTTTAGTTAAGTTAATTCCTAGGTATTTTATTTTTTGTGGGGCTATTACAAATGGAGTTGCTTTCCTAATTTCAGCCCTGTATACTCTTTTCTATAGCAGTAGTGCCCACACATATTCCATATTTAATGGTGTGCAATCACATGTACCATATTAACTAAATCAATCCCACATTATAGGAAATCCAGGTGGTTTTTAATTGTTTTAATATGTTAAAACCTTTTGACAAAATACTTTTATAAAAATACTCATAAATACATGATATTTTCAGAGGATAGATTCTACAAAGAAAGATTGCTAAGACAATAGGATTTCTTTTCTCCTTAAAATTTGACAATGAGTTATCAAATTACCTTCACAATAAAACGTATGCTCATTTTGGCAGCACATGTACTAAAAGTGGAACGAGACAGAAGATTAGCATGGCCCCTGCCCAAAGATGATACGTAAATTCATGAAGTGTTGCATATTTTAATGGGTAAATGAATGAAGAGGAGAAATGGGGAGAGAATGCAGTCAAGAATTCATTGTACATATTGCAAAGTAAGGGAATATATATATGTATGTATATATATATTTTTATATATATATATATATATATATGTACAAAGTCTATACAGTACTTACAAAGCAGAGGAAAGAGTGGGTTGGGGTGGGATGGATGAGAATGTTGAGAGACATCATTCAAGACGCGTTGTATTCATTGTATTCATAAACTGCTTTTCTAAATGGCAACTCCTTTGCACAATTATTTAAGTAAACAAGAATATACAAAACTTACATAGTCATTCATAATTTTTTGTTTCACCCTTCCTATCAAAGACTAGGTATTACCCTTCGCTTTCATGTTTGGAACCAGATCAGTGGGGGAAATGGCATTTTTACCTTTTATCTTTTTTATTATTTTCAACCCCCGACAAGGCTGATTATCTTTTCATGTGGTTATGAGCCAGTTCCAATTTTATACCAGGTTGATAATCTTTCCTTATGAATTTCTAAGAATATTACTTTTTCCCCCTGAGATGATCGTATGAGTGTACATTTTCATCCAATGAATAAAATGATGTTTTGGTAAAATTATTTATCCTTTTCCTTAAGGGGGACCCACTCCTGAAATTGCCTTCTGAAACATTTCAATAAGAAACCTCTGACAGAATTTCCTTCCCCTCAACCCTCTTTTCTGTTGTCTTTTTCAAGGGCACATAGTGAGAACTGTGGACTCCTGTTATTTTCAAGATTAATAGACTCAGGGTGCGAAAGATGCAACATTCCAAGCATGAAGAGTTATTAACTAGCAGCAGCGTTTTGAGGAATGTTCTCACATTCCAAATGCTTCATTGCTTCATTGAATAGTGATCACGGGAAGCTCACGGGGAGGCAGATGTTTGCTTGCACATATTACAAATGCAAACAATTATTCCCAAGGTGAACATCGAGGAATTTTAAAAAGCACACACAAAATTCTCTGATGAAAAGAAAGAAATGATTGCACTGAATTTGAAAAATGATCTCTGTCTAGGAGTTGTTCTTTCGATCCACAGCTACTGAGTAGTAAACACAAAATGTGTTGGATGATGAAATGAGAATTGAAAAACCAAAACAAGTGTGTCCACATAGTCGTTGCCCAAGCATGACCACCCTGAGAGAACAGTCTACATGCAAAACGTCATCTTGATCGAAATGGTAAATAGAACTTTGTCATATCACACAGCTGATACGGGACTTTGGTTTTGAGGTAGATGGGTGATTATTCTTAATTGAAGGTGTTTGCTTTTCATTCATCGGCTTGATAAGGACAACAATCTCCCCAAACAGAAAAGATTCCAAACACACATCATTCTAATATTTTCAGATTCTCAAAGTAACTGACTGTTATTCTTTCTTCTGTGTTGACTTAGACCAAAACACCAAAACATTTTTTTTCTCCAAATCCCAAAACAAGGATGATCATGTTAAGAAAACAATTTTTAACTCAATAGGCAGTTTATGTTGCTTCTCTTCTTCATGTGACAAATGTTCATGCCTTGTGAAAGGAAATAAAGGCATGTTACATCAGAGCACATTCCACATTGGCCTCATACCGTCGCACTTTGGACTATCTATATTCCAAGGGCTGGAATGGAGAGAACATGCCACTTTCGTAGGTGAACTCCTGAAAGACCAAATAGACAAACGACTCCTACTCACATGACCAAAGCATCTCTTCCCAGCTCCTTGTTTTACTGTGCAGATTCTCCATCCTTATCTGATCCTTCAGCGGCACTCTGGGTTTGGGGCTGCAATGGTGGCCTCTCTCTGGAGCAAGTGGCATTTCAGTGTCCTCTGAGCCTCTGAGTCAGCTGACTTGCACACCCTCACTGCCTTTACCTCCCCCAGCTGCTTCGGACTCAGCCCTGCTACTCTGGTCTCCAGGGAGCCTGACCTGCTGTAAGAGAAACCAGTAGAATCCGAGGACCAGCATTTGCCCCATTTGAAAATATTAATTCTGTGATATTTTCACCTCACATTTTTATGAATTCCAAATTAATGTTGGCTTGACATAGTCCACTGGTGCATTTCAAGTACACACAGAACACCAAGTGAATTGTTATTACTCCAAGGGTTCAGAAAAGAACTTGTGGTTGTTCTACAGGTATATTATTAAATCAGGAGTACAGGATAATAAAGGACACTGCCTACCTTTAAGGATTTATATTCACACCTTGGAAATCCTTTGGGGGTAAATAGAAAATTATAATAATCCAGTATCAATGGCAGAATGATACCATTGCATCTTATCTTTGTTTCAGTTCTGCTGGTTGTAGCTGAGAAAAGAATATACATTGAGTCCAGGACAATATTGATATTTTATGGCATTTTTCTACACCATACAGGTCTGTTTCTGGAGGCCTTAGCCTCATGAATCTTATAGCGATGACACTGTTTTGTTGCTAGTGGGGCAAGAGCCAGAGTTAAAACAATTTTAAGCCCTTTCTCTTAATTGCCTTAGTGTTCTCAGTGAAGCTCCTTAAAGTCTCTCATCCTTAGTTCCTTTGTCTTTAAAATGTAATTATTCCCTCACCTCAGGGTGTCATTTATGAGAATAAAATATGAGCAGATGATATAACTAAGAGAAGTCGAGAATATCTGCACAGTCAAATGCTCATAGTGTTTCTGTTTTTATTGGCATATAGTAACCACACAAAGGGATTCTGTCATGATGTTTCCATGTAGACATAGTACAAACTTTGATTCAATTCACCCCTCTAATACACCTCTTCTTCAGTTCTATCTATTATAACTGGCCTCTGATTGGTTGTTGGTTTCCAAGTATTTATTGACTTGTCTATTCTTTTGGGGTGCTCTGGTATAAATTGACCCTAAAACGTTGAAATGAGTCTGAAAAGATCAAGCTCCCGAGAATGGGCATCCGGAACCTTCTTCTGTTCCTGGCTCCCAGCCGTTCAGCAACACGGCCCTGCATCACCTGGCTGAGCCACAGAGTGAATGCACCTTTGCCTTCACACCTCTGTGCTCCTTCTGAAATCAGGTTTATCACCCTAAATGGAATCATCAGACTGGTGATAGCCTTTTCTATTTCCAAGGCTGCTTAATTTATTCCACCTAACTAGCCACTTTTGCCCACAGGGGAAATTTATGCAAGAGCTCAAGGTTTGATCTTCCCTGTGGAGGAGGACAAAGGCGAAAAGTCACAGCCAGCGCTCCTGAGGGGGGCTACAGGAGAGGACACCTGCAGAAAACCTGACTTAAGGATTAGTGGAGCACACATCTGTGCCTCACACGCCTCCATGCTAATGAAAATAAGGCATCTTGAATCGGTTTCAAACTTGATTTTCATATGAAATCCTGATCTTTCTGTTATTCTTATTTTTTTAATCTCTCAGTTGCCTTAGGTCACATCATGCCTTAAGAAAATAAAAGGCTTCTGAGTCAGGCAGTATTTATAACAGATGTCAGTTCACACTACGCACCCTAAAGAGATGCCAACTACACCCTGGGCAGTGAGAAATGAATGCTTCCTGCATCCAAGGAGACAAACATGTCCAAAGGGCTACTCTAACAGATCTGACTCCATGCTTGCAAAGTACTCGAGAGGATGCAACAACAAAAGGTAGATGTACATTTCAGTACCCTAGGAGTTCCTTTCTGTCAATCAATGGCAGGAATTTACTTTGAGGATATCACCTAAAGGTGTTTTTGAATCACTGGACATTTGGAGTCCTAGTTTGAAGCATGCATTTAATGGAAGAGAAATGTTTTAAAAAGCTTTCTAATCATTTGAAGTTGTTGTTCTGAAAAATAACATTTCAAAGTAATAGAGCAATGCCTTGCAATTTAGAGTTTGGTTGGAGCTTAGCCACCGTGGGTGAATTGTTTCACAAATGTATAGTATAGCAACAAGAGAACAGAAGCCACCCTGCCCTTACATGGACAATATCTCCTGCCATTGTGTGATACTTAATAGTGAAGAAATAATAATAAGAGGAAACGTCCCTTTCAAGGTTAGAAAAAACATACAATAAAATTCTCTGGAGTTAAAAATAAGCTACATAAAACTTCATTGGTTAGTATTTAGAAGTATAATCATCAGAACTGAATTAACAGAATTAACAGAACTGAAGGTTGGCATTTTGTTTGAATTTTACCTAACACAAATACACACCCACACATACACAGATACATAAACACACATACAAACACACAGTCAGACATACACACACACACACACACACACACACACACACACACACAAAGTACAAATGCAAAGGAGGTTTTAGAACAGGCTTTAAGTCACAAGGAGGAACCCAAAACACAAAGAGGGTAGCAAAATATACTGGGAAACTGCATCCTAACCTGACAACCCGGAAGCATTTTCAAATTTCAGCACCTATTTATGTCTGTGGGAGAAGCTCCGAATCTGTGTATCATTGCGGATTGTACTTCAGTTTTATTTAGAATTTTGCACTTCTATTCCTACAGTTATGATTTGCACTAACTCCCTTAGGAAGTCCCAACTAATTTAGTCTTATAATTGCTCTTGTAAAAGAGAGCACTCACTGTTAAGACCAGACTCTATGGTTACGCTCAGAAATGCACGGGACATCTGTATTCTTAATGTAAACTACCTATAAGCTTCAAGATACGTGTGTGAATGTTTTTCTTTTCTTATTTTTTCCCTACATCACTTTATCACATACTTAGTGGTTTAGAACAACAGCAATTTATTATCTTGTATCTGTGGAGGTCAAGAGTTCTAAATCAAAGTGTCACTTGGGCTGCTTTGCAGACTCTAGACAGAATCATCTCCACAAGTTCTGGAGATCAGCATCTTTGGGGTGGGCATTATTCTGTCTACCATGAAACTATTAATCCCATGTTGAGATAAGGAAACCGAAGGTCAGAAGAGTGAAATCATTTCACAGAGAAACAGGGCAGCCAACTCTTGCCCTGGTAAGAGCTAATTCAGTATGAAA